ACAACAAAAGGACTTAATGTTCCAGTAAACAGACCTGTATTGTGTGATAGGCTATTTTGAATCAGGAAATGAGCACTCCCAGCGAGAGTTGGAAGCTTCAGAGAAGAGCCTGGTATCCACTCATGTTTGTGATGATGGTCTATCCATTCATTTCCGCCAAACTCCCTATTAGATGGTGGTGGTAATTTACCTTTTGATTGTTTGGCAACCACGGTCAAACTATAGTAAAAAAGGAGAGTTTTTTATGGTTTTGGTGTCATGGTGTGAACAGAAAGCTTCTGTAAAACAGTATTAAAATTAATGTAAACAGAAAACATCCTTCATAGTTAATAATTTTATATTTGCAGTTATTTTGCTTGAGCCTAGTCAAATTGTTCATTATGTACTATATCTCATATTGCACTCAAATCCTTCACTGAGTCCTGTGTATATACAGTTCTTCTAACAAAAGTGTTATTTGTTGTCTGTTTATTTTACAGGTCTTGATCAGGCACTGGAAGGCTGCCACACTAGAGTGACCCCGATTGCTATTCCATTGAAATGTGAATGGAATCCATCTGTTGTTGGTTCATTGTTGATGTTGTTTGTCTCTACTATTTTGTGCTGTCTTGGTATGCTGGGCCCATGGCAAACAAGGGTTCTACTAGCACTGAAAAGAGTGGGGGGGTTTAAAGTAGACATGCATACACACACACACATGCACTGTTGCATAATGCATATAGCATGTTGATAATACAGTAATGAATTAACAGTTCACATCCTTACAATCTATGTTGTAATATTGTCCTACCTACTATATTCTTCATATTGGAACTCTACCAGTCTGGTTTGGTTAATCATAGGACACATCATTGACTTTCAAAAGAGGTGTTTACTGTATCTGCACATCAAAAATCTATGCACACCCCCTGGCAGAATGGCTCGGTTTGAATTATAAATAAAGAGTGAAACGGTGCCAGTGCTGAAATCAGTAGTTCCAGACAAGTCAGGGTTCAGCTGCAATCCAACAAATAAAATTAGAGAAGAAAGTCTTCCCAGGTGCATTCATCCATGCAGTGTGGGGACAGACTGAGATGCCCAGTGACTCAGAAGAACTATAATGTGTTAGTTTTTTTGTTTTTTTTCCTCTTCAATGCCTCAGTGGGTCAGGCTGGGATACTGTGATTCTGTGGGCACATCCTGTTTAATGTTGTGTTAGCAGCAAAAGGAAGACAGCAGATCATATTTGCATTTGTCAACTCCATCAAATTATAAGTCAACATAAAGACAGTCTTTCAAATCCTTGTATTTTCATGTTGTGTCCCCATTTATCCTTTCTTATTTCAGTAAAACAGGAACATGAATCTCAACAGGCAGAAAAGGGTGCTTTCCAGGAAACAAGACTCACACTGTCTTAGAGTCTCCTCTTCAACTACCAACACTGGTCAGATGGCACATAGGTCATCTACACCTTTTGAAGAATGTATATACAAATATTCCTCTGATGCATGACTTTAATGATGGAGATCATTGTGTTGTAAGTGATTGTACTTTGGTTATCCAGTTTGACCTGTTACTGTATTTTGTGAAATTCAGTGAACTTATGTATATACGTATATATGTCTATATATATACTGTATATATATATATATATAGACATATTTCTTGATAATCTGAATTATTCAAATAGTATGTGTGTTGATGGAAAAAAACACTACTGCTACAGACTTAGTATTTTAATGCAGAGCGTCAGAAAGCCATCTCTACCTACCTCTCCAACTGAGTGAGCTGTTGTTTCCTGTTAATTGTTTGGTTTTCATTGGAAATCTCTGCAATGATTTGCTGTTGCCTCACCACTCTCTTGCAGCACATAGCCAAAAACCTAAAATCTATTGAATATAAGAACACACAATGACTTAGATTTCAGTCTTGGTTGGTTATCACAGCACTCCTTGAGCAGCAATACAGCAGAAGAACTGTAAACTGGTGCATCTGTTTAGAGTGCAACCAAACAAACTCATGTTTTAATAAAGAAGCCAGTCAATAAGTAATATGCTGAGAAAAAATAGTATCAAAAATTGGGTTTAATTGTGTGAAAATCTTAAGGATTATAACTTTAATATCTAGAAATGTGATTAGTGAAGTTTAACTTTTTTGCAGTAACAATTCGGTCTCCGTGTAGTGATCACACAATGACAATGCACCAAAATTACTTTGCTGCTGTCGAGTTTTTTTAATTTCTCTGTTTTCATTCTGCAGATTCAAAATGCTTTAAATGCAGAATAGGCCTCTTGTAAATAGTCAGTTCTTTAATTTGATCGGCATTTTACTTTGGTAGCACATGATCATACTGTTAAGATGCAACAACATGCGATTCTGACATTAAGCAGAACGACAGCACAAGAGTAGGTGACAGTTATGCAGCATCTTTGACATGAGGTGATGAAATTTGTATTTTTCGAACAGTGAACACCTGTCAAAAATGTCATATACAATAAATACATTTACACATCTGCTGCGTGTGCATGGAATGGACTATGAATGCTATGCACCACTATTACAACAATAGATCACTGTGCTTCATATAAGCCCACATCTGCAGGTTTCCACAGAATACGTATCAGTGGTTTCAAAGGAAATGCTGTGTGACAGGTGTGACAAGTTACTGAAATCATCCCTTTCAAAAAAGATTAGGTGTGATATGTTTAATGCATTAAGGATTTTTCCTTAATGCATTAAAGGAGTTCCCTATGTAATTTTGTCATGTATGATTCAGGCAAGGATGGAAGTCTGACCTTTATGAATGCAGGGAAATACACACTGCATACAAGATGCCTGCAAACACCAAATAGTGAATGCAACATCTGGGTGGTGGTACTGGGGCTGTGCATAAATGAATCTGTCACACTAGTTTTCATATTGTAGTTGAGTTTCTACAAACTGACATGTTGAAGTGTATGTATATATCTTTGAAAAATAATCTGATTGGAGCATATTTCCTTCATTGTCACACACTGTCAAAACACAACTAAAGATCCGAATTTCTACGAGTTCACTCTCTTCAGAAAGTTTTTTGCTGCCAATGAACATAAACAGAAACCAATCACATTTTGCATAAAGAGTCATGGTACAAAGCGGCATGTTGCAAAAGTGAGAGTTTATAATGTCATCAACACTAAATGTAGAACTACACCACTGGCGGAACTTTTTTTATCGTTTCATGTGTTGGTAACCTCTCCAACTGACGAATACGTCTGTGGCTGACATTACTGGTTTCAGAGACTGTAGCAAGCTCAGTTTTAAAGCTAGAATGACGAGACTGGTATCATATTAAACTAGAAGACCTAAGGCATCCATTCATAACAAGTCATGCTAACTTGGGAAGGGGTTAAATAATGCTCCAAAATGACGCTAAAGTTTGGCGATGGAAAAACTGGCATGGCTATTTTTAAAGGCATCCTTTGAGCTCTGACCTCAAGAAAAAAAGGGGTTTGTATGCAGTATAAATGTGTAATTTTTGCATTCTTGGATTCCTGAACAGTTATGGAACTTTATATAAATTGGGTATGACTGTAAAGCTGAGACTCTTGAAGTTGTGGATTCAATGGTCCCGGTTGTATTCATGTGATAATGTTTGTTCCAGTATTAGCCTTTTCATTGCAGTGAGACCATTTCTTTGAAACTTGACTTCTCTGTATAAAATGATCTATAGTGACCTCAAGAACAATCACAGCCTCATGAAACTGTACAACCACAAACTAGAGACCGGGTGTATCCAGAGGATGGAAGGCTTTCCTAGTTATATTGACACCACTGATTTATTGCCATACTTTATTTGTACAAAAACAGTAAGCTAGGCTAAGACTGAAAGGAGCTTGTCATGAAAACGTTTATTAGCCTATTACATCGTCCAGAGCTCAATGTCCCCCATCCCTTTCTGGCACTGCTGAACTATACAAAAAAAAATTTCTTTGTTCTCTCTGGAAAGGAAAAGATTCATTGACTGTCTTCTGTTTTGTTTTCCATCCTCCAACATAAACACATCAGACAAATAACCAAATAGTAACAATGACTGGAGAAGAGTTAGCAATGTTGTACCACATTGTCATTGTTGGAAATTGAAAGGTAGACTAATGAACAGTACTTGTGGAGTGATTACAAGCTTCATCACATTTTTATGACTAAAAGTTAAGATATTATGTACTCGCTTTTAACAGAAAATCATTCAAGTGTGAACAAAAATTACAAGCTCTAAAGAAATAATCTACTTCAGTAAAAATATGAGGATTCGCCTTCCATAAAATCGATTCAGTCTCTGAAGAACAAGACAGAGGGAATGAAAGGAAAGAAAACAGAGGGAAGGACCTTACAGCATGCACAGACATAAAATACAGCACCCAGGTGCACACACACACAAACAGAAGATCAACTGCAATCTTGCATTTTGATAAACAAATTGAAATGTGAACATGAATTTCTTGCCAACTTAGCAAACTGCATCTGATGAGAAGGATCATGTGATTATTGTGATAATTGAAAGTGCCATGCACTGCAGTAACTCACTGGCCTTGTGGAAAGATTGTTATAGCCTATAAGTAAAAGTTGACAATAAATGAGATGAAGACAAACACTGCACATAAAGCATCACAAAGACAACATCTATTTCAGAGCTATTGTATTTGATTGTGCTGTGCTTATAAACTGGTAACGGCGTAGCTATAGTTTCAGTTGTGAAATATTGTGTTTTGAAAACACAGACTTTCCTCACAGAAGTACTTCCTGTCCCCCAGAAGAATGAGAATCCATTATCTGGTTGTTTTGATACGCTGCTCTCACTCTCATATTTTGTCTGTCCTAACAAAACCCTGACCCCTGTGATGGGACTTCCTCTTGGTATGGGCTGTTTGTTCAGGCACTTCACACAATATAACCCCATTCTAGCCCTCTATGTCACATCATGTTATTTTGTGAAAGTGCTGCAGTATGTGCTGACATGTACTCAACAATGTTAATGTGTTTATGTGTGTCTGTGCCTGACAGAGATGATGGTTACCTCCTAATGAGGGAGAGAGAAGCCAAATGATGCAATGAATTGTTTACCTTAGAGGTATTACGTTTCCAAAACGGATGGACAGAGTTTGTTATATATCCATTTTTCATAAGCCTGCCTCTGTTTTTGCTTCTACGTATTCTCATGCAACTGCTGGTTAAGTAGCTTAAATGAAGCATTCTATTTCTCTGTGGGGAAGAGGCTGTAATACACAATGTCCACCAGGAGTCCCCTGTAAAGTGCTGGCTTCCTGTTCTTGTTATTAGTAATGAAAAGAACATAGTGAAGCATGTTCCCAACAGCAGCGTTCACAACGGCTGTCCTAGCATTTAGCTTCTGTAAATGATTTAGGACTCATTTCTTGCAACAAATGAATTGCAAATGTATTAATCAGAATTGTGCTATAGGGTGTTTCCCAAGTGAATCCAAACAGTGTGAGATTCTTAGTGGAGCATATAAAAATACCCCAAGGGGTGTACAGAACAAAATCCAGCAGACACATACTGTATTTCTAAGATATGGAATATACATGATGCAAAATGCCAGAGATGCCAAAGCATGGTAGTAAGAAACTGGAACAGGAGGAGACTGGAAGGACAAATTAGCCAGACTAGCAGTATGTAGCTGGAGGAATTGTTTGCATAAACGGTCAGAACATCTTGTCAGATTGTGCCATGATTTCACAATTAAGATGATGCTGATCAGCTGACAGTATGGGTAGTTTCATTGTTCTTCCTGATCCAAGAGTTAAACCAGGATAAGATACTCTATGTGGTGTAAAACATACTGCATGTGGGGCTTCATCCCAAATGAATTCAAGCAGCATGAAAGATCTTGAAAAGGCCTTCTTAAAAATACATTTCCTGACTATATCTGAAGCAACAGGCATGTTGTAATTCCCCGTTAATGTTGCAGGTCCCTTCTCATTCAGTGCCTGAGCTCTGCAAACATGCTGGAACCTGATCAAAAGAACATGTTGCAAGATAGTGTAGTAGTGTCCTGAGAAAAGGGAAGACTGCACACAGATGAGGTTACAACATGATAAGAGCAAAACCATTCCCCATGTAAATACTCTGCTTTACGCAGTATCGCAGATAAGCAGAAGATCTGTAGGGAGAGCTATAAAAACCCCCAAGACAAATATTTCCCCTTACACCATTACTTTACCAGCCAACCTATGTAAAGCAACAAGCGTTCTGCAGCTGCAAGCTTGCAACCTAATTGAGGAAACAGATCATGTGAAGTGAAGCAGGACTGATTAGATCTTCCAGCATTCCATGTGGCGAGACGTCACTGAGTACACAAACCCCCCGCGGGACTGGAAACCGTTGCTGCTGATGCTGAAAATGAAAAAGCAAAAGAAAAGCAAGGAAACACCTTTTTTGGGGTTGGAAGTTGTCTGTCACAACCAAAGGAGGGCTGGATATAGCGAATGGCCTTTGGCTTAGATTTCTGGCATTACCAGTGAAGCAGGACGACAGTGGGCCATTACAGCTGCACTGTGTGCACAGTGATGAAGCTGAAAGAGTGGAACCCTGGGCATCTGTGATGAATAAAGGCAGATTGCGGAGGCTGTCATGCCTGTGATGACAACTTTGACCTATCATTATCTACTAAGACTGTGCTGTCCCTCTTCAACATCCATCACGTTTGCTAAGCCATGATAACAGTGCAGTGTAAGCGGCACCCTTGGCAAGTTGTGAAAATGGTCGGAAACACCACATAATAATAATAATAATAATAATAATAATAATAATAATAATAAATGAAGTTAATAAAAACTTTTATTTAATCTAATTTACATTATTGTAATTCATTGTATTTAGGGTTGAGCCAAAAAATGTATGCCTTCAGCTGGTACAAAACACAGTTGATACTTAAAGACAAGCTCTATCAGCCCTCAGCTTTAGCGTCTTCTCACTGGTAGTTTGATTGATTTTAAGATTTCACTGATCACTTTTAAAGCACTTCAGAGGGTTCAGCCTCCTAGCTACATTGCTGTTGCTTGTTCTATGACGCCAAAGCAGCAGGCCTCCCCAGGATCCACAGGATCTGATTCACAGCTGAGGCTGTTTCTGAGTCCGGGCTCAAGGACTAAAGGGAAACCGGCTTTTTTGCGTCACGACCCCTCAAGCTCTGTAAGCTCCCTGGCCTGAGGATGAGGATGACAACTTTTAAATCACTCTCTAAAAATGTATCTTTTGCACATGTCTTATCTGTTTTATTTTATTCCATTTTTTATTACATAGGGACAGGCGAGAGATTGATGGCCGGGGCGGGGGCGGGGGGGTGGAAACCCCAGCCGCTGTGGTAAGGACTCTATCATACCTTACACCCATTCTGTTTTATTTTTAGCATTTATCTTTACTGTTGTTTCTATTTGATATTATTTCTGTATTGTATCTGATTTTATTTGCCCCAGTCCTCCGTCACTTCCCCCTCCCCTTCCATGTATGAAGGAGA